TTAATTTAAACACGTCACATTTCACTGTTTTTCAAAGTCTTTCAATCCTACACAAATAAAGTGTCAGAAGTCAAATTCGAAGCCAATTTTTAAACACAACCGCGTTATATACGAGGGTCGCTCATTAAGTAATGCCCCACATTTTTTTCCTCAGAACATATTTATTCAAGATGGCTCAAATTTAGTGACAATATAAATCAATGTTTCCTTTACACATACTATTTTTCCACATAGTCCCCATCAACTTGTACGGTTTTACGCCAGCGTGGAACAAGTGCATGCATGCCTTGCCGGTACCAGCTCTTGTCCTGTCCCCGTAGCCATGTCCTTCGCATAAAGTGTTTCTTAAAATGAACTGTAGATTTACTGAAATAATAAAATTTCTTATTTATATTTAAAATGTCTTCGTGAAGAAGGGTATATTCTAACCGATATACTATTAGGCATCGCATAGTAATGGTTTTAAACACGGTTCAGGATGAATTAATATCAGCTAGCACACGTCGCTTAAGAATATACATCAAAACTTATCGAGTAACGACAAAGCTGTTGACACGGATAGATTTTGTAATATTACACCTGGTCCTGATAGCCTGTCAATCATAATACAGATCGAAAAATAAGATCAATGGACCATCTACTAATAATTACAATAAAATAAATAAACTTTATGCAATTTTAATATGCTATGTTTAATAAAATTGATGCACTGTGCAATGTTTGTGTAGTAATAAAAATGGCCTGTAGATGACATAACACGTGTCGTAACATTTTACCATAAAGTGGTGTATCGTGATAAAGCTCTGTGGGTGGAACTAAAGTGATTAGAATAGTAGGAAAATAAACATAACACTTTTAGTATGTTTAATCTCGCTGCATCGAATGTGGAGCCAGAGGTAGGCTTTAAGATCGGATGTCGACGACTTCATCTCAGCCACACCTCCTCATGAATACAAAATGAATTACGTCTTTCCACCATCTTCAACGCCTTTTCATACGTACTTTTTCCCTCTTCTTCACCCACGTCTGTCTCCAATTCTTGTTCCCTTCATCCACTGATTTTCCATTCTTTGTTCCTAATTATATTCCCTCAACTGTCTTATTTTACACAAAAATTTTCTTCTTCAGTCATTTTATTTTACTCCGTTTTCCTTTCTCTATATGTTCCAGTTTAACGTTTCTTATTATTCTTTAGTCTTCTTCAGTCGTTTTATCTTACTCCGTTTTCCTTTCTCTATATGTTGATGACGCAATGCCAACTTCTATCTATCTATCTATCTATATTTTCGTAAATGAAAGATAACATGAACGAATACAGAGCGAACACATTGCGTAATCTGGCACAGTCTTCCAGGAATGGATAAAAGTCACAAATGGAGAGAAAATAAAATCCAGAAAAGGTTTTAGAAAGAAAGAAATGCGCAGAATTTGCAGTCTCAGTGGCCTACTTATATCACCAAATCAGTTTCTTTAGAAATGTACTTTCGAATGCGTGGTAAGTATTTCAATTCTATTGTATTCGATTCAGTTCTGTACGTTCTGGCGTTAAAATACCATAACTTGGAGCCTTGAAACAAGAAATAACTCTTTGACAAGATCAGTAAAGCACCAAGATTAACTAGTAAATGTGACTGGCTAGGGACTGGAAGACCGGAGTTCGATCCCCAACAGAGGCAGGAGATTTTCCTCTAGTCTCTGGGTCCAGACCGGCTCTGGGACCCACTCAGCCTCACATCCAATGGGTACCGGGGTAAAGCTGCTGACCACTCACCCCATCTAGTGCCGAGGTCAAGAATGAGTAGGAGCTATACCTCCACTCCCCCCCCCAAGCGCCTGTATGGCGTACGGTGGGACAGATTTTTATTTTACTTTTAACTAGCAGAATTACCCGTTCATTGCAAGGACTTTTCTTAACTGAACTGAAATTTAATAAATATTAACAGCCGTTACAGTGACTTCTTGGCGACTGAAGGCGAACGGGTCACAAAGTGACTTAACTCATTGTCGTCTTCTTCTTATTATTATTATTATTTTCTCGTCGACCCAAAACAGTCCTAAAATTCCTTAATTATATGAAATCACACGATTTTCTATAATTTACGGCGGGTACTGATCGCTTTATGCATTAATAGGTTTCCAACCAATGGTGGGACAACCATAGCTTTATGCAAAATAAAGACTGATCAATATCGCACAGAAACCGGACTAAAAATGAGGCAGTGGAAAAATTAAAGGATTCTGTATTATGCAAGATATATGGAATAATAAATGTCAAAGAACTCAGGAAAAAAAAAGCAATATACAGAGGCTCGCACCGTAAATAAAATCGCAGATGACAGAGAAAAGAGACGAATTCTAAAGTGAAACGTGTCTGCATTTTAAGTAAGCTTAAAGAAATGAATTTATTTTATTTTTTCAATAAGACAGAAAACTGTGAATTATGTTACTGTTCTTCTACGTCCAGCCCCCAAAATTAAAGAAAGGTTGTCATCTACGGCCCACAAGTTCACACGGCGCCGAAACCCAGTTCTCCATCCTCGCCGCCATGGAAACATTACATCTAATTACTGGCAAAAATTGACGAACACAAAATGTAAAAACAACTTAAAAATGATGCACATAAAAAACAAGTCATAGTCTGCTTCAAATATCTTCTTTCTCATATTTATTATTATCTCATCTTGAATCTAAAGTCCCTGGCATTATCACAGTATCGAATTTTATGTGATTACAACACATGGATTTGATACAAAGGAACGAACGGTGATAGAATTCTAAGCACCTGCCACTGAAGCCATGACAGAGAAAATCCGAAAAGCGAGTTCGCACAACAAATGACTTACAAAGGTTTCGAAATCGCTGTCGTAATTTCAGTTACAAACATTGGCGAACAAGAAACAAAATTTTCCAGTACATAACAATTTACGAACTTCACTAATTACGTTTTGTTTTAACATTTTCAATTTTATATCCGTCTGAAATCCCGCACGTAAGACACCAGTAGGCGAGACCTAGTAATTTAGGAATGTAACGGAGGATAACATTAATATTTGTGTTTGTATAATCTTGTTCGTAGACAGAACAGTCATAAACATCGGTAATAATTTTAAAAAAGTACAAGAATATGTCCGTTATGTTTGTAAAAGAATAAGAAACATTGTAATTTGAGCTTCAAAACAGAAACTAGAAACTTGTGACATATGAGAAACTGTACAAAGAATGTTGAGTAATATATTATTTTCCCGAATAAAGGACGAAAATTCTTTTCAGCATCTTCCTTTTATTCTTTTCCTTTATTTTTCTTCATCTGAAATATACGCATCCTTTGTAATGATATTTCAAAACAGAGGCCGAGCGCAGATCTCACGTAACGTTCACT